TGTTCTTCCTCCATGAGTTGATCTTGTCCAAGCACCAGAACATCTTGGTGACAGAAGAGTGGTGGTATGTAGTAGAGCTGCATATTACTGGCACTTGAATCCATGTCATCTGACCACTTCACCTTGTGGTTGCACATAGATATTAAAAAGGACCAGAAAGAGAATTGATCCTTGTGGAATTCCACAAATGAGGTGGAGTACGGGATTTGATGGAAAAGGATCCAATTCAAAAATTATCCTGGCAGAGGTGACTGCAACCAGGAAAGCAATTTTGATGGAGTAGACTAAGTGGCTTGAATGGCAAATTTATTAAGGTATATAAAACTGATTAATATCATGATGAAACCACAAGTTAAAATTAAGCATCCATAGGGTACCTCTGAGATGCTGCCTGCAGGAATCTCTGAAGTACAGCTCTACTACTAAAAATGATAATATCTTACTCATTAGATCCACTCTGTGTTTAGACAAGGTCATATCTGCTATCTTTGGAAACATAAATAAGTTATTACTTTTTACTCTGGTTAGCACTGCAGACACAACACAGCTCTGGGAAAGGCAGGAAGATTCTAATGTTGCTTTGCATCCTCCACAGAAATATTTACGAAGTTCCATTTACAGACCTAATGAGTTATGACTATGTAAACCATCAAGGCAATATAGCTTCAATGGAGAAAGGCACTCTCCTCATAATTTGATGTGCAATACTTTTATTATCTTAATTTGCATATTCTGGAATGAGTTTGCATGGTTGCTGGTTAGAAAAGATATATTCTTCCCTATAAACAAAGCATATTTGATATGGAAACTATTGCAGAACAAACACAAAACCTCACACATCCTTTTTTACAGACATTCCATTATCATCTCCAATTCCTCTCTCAAAACCCACTTCAAGGGGGCTTATCAAATGTAGCCTTATGTATTAACTATAAGAAAAACGGTGTATCCCTCAAATAATGTGCACTAGCACATTTCTGGACACCATATAAATAACAGAACTGACCCAAACAACAGCAGGATCTTATTGTCTTGACCCACGTCCTCATCTCTCTTCACCTTCGCCTCAGCTCTGTCCATACTACCTACTCTTATTTTAAATTGTAAAATATCCAGGGCAAGCACTCCATCATTTTTTCTAACATAAACACAGCTACATATCTATTTTTGTAACATACTAAATACATCTATGGCTATAAAGAAAATAGTGACCATACAGTGGTATATCCAGATTGAAAATCCAATTAAAAAAAGACAAGGAAATCTAAGGATTCCAAGAGACACCACATTGCCCCGGCCCTCCCTTCCCAAAAAATTAAAAACCTTTTTTTTTTTTTTTTTTTTGGGGGGGGGGTTAGAGAAGGGGGTCAGGTCAACAAGTAGCAAGAGTGTCCACATTACGGAGACTGTCCCCATAGGAAGGCAACAAATATAATGGCAGCCCGATCCCAAGTTAACGCCCACGTAGTCACAACTGCATGGATACTGAAGTAATGGCAGAACAATAAACCTGGCCAACTCCAATCCTAAGAGATAAAAGAACCTGCACAACACAATGAATCTAATTTAATCTTATCCTGGAACTTGCATGTACATGGTGAACATGAATCCATTTTTCAGAACGGAACTTATATGTCTGAAGGTAGATCAAATCAGGAATGGTACTGACTTTATTAGCCACCAACAGAACACTGAACTGAAGATTATGATGACTCAGCCAATGCCCTACTGCTCCCAACAGACCCTTGTGAAATCCAAAACAACTTAAATGTAACATACATAAATAATCATATTATAATTGGAAAAATTTCATTCTACAGTTTGAGGTCATATCTTTTAAGGTTAACCAATTGATCCAGGTTTGCTGATTTGCATACATCTTAATACCTCATTTATAATGCTGAAAACACTTGATCAAAGAAACAAACCAAAAAAATCACTCTAGTTACTGGAACCATTTCAAAGTTATGAACTACACTGGAAGAAAGCTCGGCCAGGTTCCAAGTAGCACACTGAGGGAGGACTTGAACACTGAGTAAATGTACTTTGAAAAAGTCACAAGCCTAATCACACTAGATATTAGCATATAGATAAGGAGCAGGGACAAGGGAAAAACAAGCTCATTTTCTAGAGAGCTACCATTAAGAGCAGGTGATTTGGCAAAAAGAGCCCAAAATCTGTGTTAATATTTCAATGAGATCAGGTATAACTGAGATTCTGCACACCAACCTAAATTGGTTTTATGACTATTCAATTAAAAAAATTTAAGGTGGAATCAGTGTTGCTCACACACAACAGAGCATTAAACATTAGAAAGCCAGAAATGCTTAGTGAAGGTCCCCCCCCCCACATATACCTTAAAAGAACATTAGTGTTGCAAGAAAACCAAAAAAATGTTAAGGTAAAACTTCCAACACAACACACAGAAAGTTTAGTTCTGCCCCACACACATGCAAGCATATGGAGACAAAGTAAAATAAATGTGTGTGTAATGCCACTTGTGCTGGACACAAAATGGTAATGTGATTATGGATTTTTTTTTTCATGCTAATTTAGTGAGTTCCTTGTGGCAGCTTTAAGGGAGCAAAGTTAAATCTGTCTGGTTAACATTGCCTTAACTGGGGAGGGTATTATAACAGACATTCTTTTAAGCGGTATGCTTAACCAAGTATTTCCTGATTTTCCAACATTTGTGTTTACATTCTGAAGTCTCATGTTCTGGAGGGGTATAGAGAGTAGAAGACGCTGTTATACAGTAGCAAAATTACCTTCACCTTAACAAATTAATCAGTGGAACAGGTGATATTAGAACTCATGGTTTCCTGACTCCCAGCCAGGTGAACATTCTGTAAGCTAAAGGTCATTTTGAAGGAAGCAAGCAACATATTCATCTGTCTGATCCTTGTTCCCCACTAAATTCAGAGGTGAAAATGGTGTTGAAATTATGTCAGAATGCAGTTAAGGGGTCTGCACACCATGCTGGCAATGTATAAGTGCACCAACACCACTCTGGGCTGGTCTACACGGGGGGGGAGTGGGGGTCGATCCAAGATATGCAACTTCAGCTACACGAATAGCGTAGCTGAAGTCGAAGTATCTTGCATCGAATTACCTGGGGTCCAGACGGCGCAGGATCGATGGCCGCAGCTCCCCCGTCGACTGCGCTACCGCCGCTCGCTCTGGTGGATCTCCGGAGTCGACGGTGAGCGCGTTCGGGGATCGATACATCACGTCTTAACGAGACGCAATATATCGATCCCGGATAAATCGATTGCTACCCGCCGATACAGCGGGTAGTGAAGACGTACCCTCTGTCATCTCACTCTGAACTCCAAAAAGGTTTAATAACGTCTCATATTTTAAGTGATGGGACCTTTTTTCCTTTCACAAGTTTTCTCCTCGGCATGAGCAATTCAGAACAGCTTAGTTTGAAGTGCTCAGGTTCTTCCACACAAACTCTATGCTGACCTTATCTACCCATTTTCAGATCAATTTGACTTTTCTTTAAAATTTTAGAGAATGCATTATGTGGCTTTAAATGGAAATGTGGGTGAAAGCTTAATAATAGATTCTCTGAAAAATTACTGTACACGTGTTCAGAGGTTATTAATACAGTGCTAGATATGCTACTGTGCTCATATCCTATTTGGTTGTGTTATCCTTTTTCTTCTGTTACTTGTTTCCTGGTGCATTTGAACAAAAATGTGATGCTGACATATTAATGTAGCTGAGGTCTGACTGAAATGAGCAATTAACACCTGAAGGGAGGTCTCATTTCTTGGAGGATAGAATTAGGGAGCTAAACAGAACATTGGGTTTAAAAAGAATGTCTGAGCCAACTAAGATAAGTGGGAGAACATCTAGGGAACCATTTACTAACAGTGGACAAGGTAAGTTAGAAATGTAGAGATGATGTAAAGATCACGTTCTACATAAACAGCACATCGACCAAGCATGCGGTACAGCGATTGGGTCCTGCAAAGTGACCAAGACTATCCAAAAATGTATGATCTAAAGTATAGTAAATGCAATGAAATGTGTAAATGTATACGAAGGGAGAGTGCTGCTGTGTAACTTTTGATGTGTGGTATGCTCTCGACCAGGGGTAGTCAATTATTTTTTGTCAAGGTCCAAATTTCTTGGTCAATGTATAGTCAAGGTCCAAACTCCAGTGAAAATAATAAAAAACAATGATGATAATAAACAACAAGATTTCAGGCTTCATACAAATGTGTCCAGATTCGGCCCACAGTCCGCCTATTGAGAACCCCCGTTCTAGACCCACCCCTAAGCTTCAGCCTGATCAACTCATCCGAAGAAGTGGGCTGTCGTCCACGAAAGCTTATGCTCTAATAAACGTGTTAGTCTCTAAGGTGCCACAAGTACTCCTGTTCTTTTTGTGGATACAGACTAACACGGCTGCTACTCTGAAACCGGTCACCATAGCTTGGTTGTATACCAAATAAAGGAACCCGAGTGACAAAATCTGGAGTCGAACTGGTTTCTTGGACCCCAGAGAACCGGGCCAAGTGTTTGCCCAGACCTGAACAAGCTGTTCTGGAGAAGCGGAGGGGAATCCAAACACTTCCATGCATATTCCCACCAGAACGGGTTTCTCACTCACTCACACGCAAGGCAGCGGGCTTGTTACAACCCCGTGACAGACATGTTGGGAAGTTAGCCCGGGCACCTCCTAGCCTAGGCTCTGGCAGGGCGGGGAGAGTGACAAGGCGGCTCCGCTGGCTGTCAGCTCACCTGGCGGAGGAAAGCCCAGCCAGCCTGGACCCCCCGGGGCGCCTGTCGCTGCGCAGGGCTATGCCGGGGGCTGCCCCCTCGCCCAGGAGGGAGGCTGGGAGAGGCTCGGGGGGGGGGAGGCCCCCGTGACAGGAGCCGGGGACCCCAACCCCTGCGGCCGCCCGGAGAGGGGGCTCGGCCGGACGGGAGCGGGAGCCCGGCGGCTGACAGGCGCTGCCCGCTGCGGGGCCTGCCCCGCTCGCTACCTTGTAGACGTCGCCGTAGGTGCCGCTACCGATGCGCTGGATGAGCTCGAAGTCCTCCTGGGGGTTCCGCCGGGAGAGGTCGCGCACCCGCCCCACGCTCATGGCGCCGCCGAGGCTGGGGGCCCCGCTCGGTCACCGGAGGGGCCGGCTGGGGGAGGGGGGACACCGAGGCGCGATCACCGCCGCCCCCCGGCCTGCTCAGCCAACATGGCGCACTGAGTGACGCCGTGCGCATGCGCCCGCTCGCGCGCCTCTCGCCCCCCGGGCCCAGCGACACGGGGCGGGGACGCTACGGCCCCGCGCGCGCATGGGGCGGGGCGAGGAGAGCGGTGCGCGCCCCAAACTCGGCGGCTCCGCCCACGTGGCTCCCAGCTGGCGAGCGCTCAGCAGAAGTGGGGCGCGCCTGGGGCTGGGGCTCCCCAGTGCTACCCACGGCTAATAACTGAGAAACCAACACGTTACAAGCCCGGGGGCAGTCCGCTCTCCATTCCTCAGGGCTGCCCTGACCCACTCCCAACCGCCGGCCACACCAACCCCCCAACTCAACAAGGCCCTGTCCTGTTCCCTGGGACACACCGACCCCCATCCACTCCCAACAAGACCCCGTCCCAGTCATTGCCTCAGGATGCACTAACCTCCTCCCCTACACCCAGCAAGGTCCTGGACTGATCATTGTCCCCTACCGGGCTGACCCTACACCCAACAAGAGGCCCTATCCCACTCATCCCAGGCTGCACTGGTCCTAAACCCAACAACCCATCTCCCCTTGCCAACACAATCTGTGCTGGTCCCTGTGGCCAGCAACATCCCATCCCTGTTCACTGGCCTTGCCTGCAGCAGTTTCCTTCTGCCCCCACTCACTCTCCTGGGCAGTTGACCCCTAAACCCAGCAAGACTCTATCCCCCCCTCAAACAGCCCGGGTTGCTCTGCCCAGGCCTGGTCTACACTACAGAGATAGGTTGATGCGAGGCAGTTTACTTCGACCTAACTTTGGAAGTGTCTACACTTAAATGTTGCTCCCACCAGTGTAACCACCCCGCTACGCCAACATAATAATTCCACCTCCCCGAGCAGCGTAGAGTCAAGATCAATGTAGTTAGGTCAATGCATTGTCTGTTTTTCACTGTGTTACTTACATTGACTGTTACTGGCTTTCAGGAGCCATCCCACAATGCCCCACACTGAGAGTACAATCAATACAAGCATTCCTGTTGAGGACACACACCACTGACACAAGGAGCAAAGTGTAGATATGCATGAACAATGTAATTACTGTGGTGGCTGTATGCTGACATAAGTTAGGTTGACTTCATTTTGTAGTGTACACATTGCCCCAGTATACAGCACTCAGTATTACATCAGCAAGCACAGTGGTTCTCAAACTTTTTTACTGGTGACCCCTTTCACATAGCAAGCCTCTGAGTGCGACCCCCCCTTATAAATTAAAAACACTTTTTAATATATTTAACACCATTATAAATGCTGGAGGCAAAGTGGGGTTTGGGGTGAAGGCTGACAGCTCACA